GTGGACCTGGGAGGCGCACGGGCCCTGGGTGGACCTGCGGCGCCGCAGCGGCTGGAGCGACGCCAAGCTCGCCGCCTACCTCATTTCGCTGGAGCGCGGCCAGCGGAGCGGTCGCCACGGGTGAGGGGGCCCGGCCCGAGGGAGGGAGGGAGCGAGGGAGGAGACGCCCCCGTCCCCCGCTGAGCCTGGTTCCGCCCTCTCCGCTTAGGCTCCGCCCCTGGCACCTCTGAGCCCCGCCCAGCGGCCTGTGTGTCCGACTGTCGGTCCTGGGACGCGCCTGGTTCGCGGCCCCGCCTCCCGACAATCCGAACGCCCAATCCAAGGATGCGCCCGGCCTCGACCCGCCTCCTGGGCTTTTGGCCCCGCCCGCTCGATCTCTGGCTGCCCAATCCTGCTACGGGCCCCACCTGCAAGCTTTCTAACTCCCTGGAGGCGCGGCCCTGCCTTTTGAGGCCTCGGTGGCCGGAGGTCCTCGCTGGCCCCTGAGATCTCACAGGCCTCATCCCCTAAAACCCTCACAATGTAGCCTGGGACTAAGATTGCACAGCCTGGGCCATCCAGCCCTGCCTCATGAGTTTCCAGTGCCCCAGCTTGGACTGTGTGTGGCCCTATTCCCACAACCTTAGACCCCCACGTACGCTGAGGACCCCTCACAATCCAAGTCGCATTCCGCTGAACCTCTTGGCTCCTCAACCCAAGGAGACTCAGGTGAAGAGGAAGCCCTAAGTTAGCTGCACAGGTGGATGGCAGAGACCTTTGCAGAATCTCAATCTTGAGAGAGAGCAGCGTTGGTGGAATTTTTCGCTTCTGGCCACATAGGTTGATGTGATGATTAAATGAGTTAAAATACAGCAAAGAGCTTAGAAAAGTACTGGCACATAGTGAGCACTCTGGGTATTAGCTTGTTAGAATGATGGTCGTTCATCACGAACAGTGCTGCGAAACTTGTTCTGCCCTGATTTTATTTGCACATGTTCGCATGTTTCTCTGGGGGAAGATTCCGAGGGTCAAGACTCAACCAGATCCTGAACCCACTCTTCACGGTGGCAGGCTGGTTTATATGCTGAAAAGCAGGGCAGGAAATGCTGGGTGCTTAAAGCACCCCAACCAGTATCCCGCTATTGGAGTTTCTGATTCAGCTAATCCGAGTAGAGTTGCAGACCCTGTACTTCTTTCTGCAGAGCTTCCAGGGAGACTTGATGTGCAGCTGGAGAACCAATAGCCAGAGGGAGCCCCTGGAGGTCCCTAAGCTGAAGGTGGTATTTGCAGAAGCTTGGTTTGCTTGAGATGGAGCCTGCAGGACTGGGGCGTGGACTCTGAGACAACCCAGACAGTGTGTGGCACAAACCTGGTCCTAGGGCCCATGAGTAGCCGGGAAAATACACTGACCAGGGTGAGGGGTATCCGGTGGGGAATAGGCATGACCAGGGGTAGGGAGTTAATTATTTCAATGCTCGACTGTTTATAACCTGTCTTGTACCTAGAAGGATTTCAGTTCAAGGACTGTAAAACATGGACAAGCAGGTAGAAGTAAAAATTAGGGTGAAAAGAGAAAAGAAAACGAGGGACAGAGTGGGGCCAGGATCATTACTTTTGGGTTGAGGCATAAGCCACAGGAGACATGACAAGGCAGTTTTGTGGCATGGTGAGGTAAAAACCTGACCAGAGGGGTTCAAGAGACATAATTGGAATGGCAAATGGGCCATGAATTTGCCTTAGAGATTTCTAGCAGCCAGTGGGAAAAGGGAAACAATGGTCAGTAGCGGAATTTCTGGTGTTTCTTCATTCATTTGTTTAAGGAATATTTATTGAGCACCAACTACGTGCCAGGCACGTGTATAGGTGCTGAGGGTACAGCAGTGAACAAAACAAAGCTCACTGACTCATGGAGCTGACATTTTAAAGGGCAGAGGGCAGAGGCTTGTCTAGTATGGGTTCAAGGAGGTTCACTCCATTCTCTCTAGCTTCGTGTGTTTGTGTTTGTCTTTTCACAACTTAAACCCTTACCAAGAAAATCAAAAGCATCATTCTGACTCCTATGTTGACATTGAGAGGGGAGGGAAGGAAGTGGGAAACCAGGAAGGAGGTGACTGCACTGGTCCAGGTGAACTATGATGGGGCTGAACCCAGGCCGGGCCATGGGGAAGTAGAGAGAAATGGTTGAAGTTGAGGCCAGCAGAGTTCGCTGATGGGAGTGGATATGAGAAATGCCCCAGATTTGGGCTTGAGCAACTGGAAAGTTGCAGTTGCTGTTAACTGAGAAGGGCCAGATTGGGGGACAAAACGACAGTTACATATGAGAGTCCTACGTGGGGTGTCAAGCTTGGGGTGGTGGTGTGGTGCAGAGAGGGCCAGGCAGGCACTCTGAGTGTGGGAGTCACCAGAGTGATGATGGTATGGTGATGGAGCTTGCCAAGGGGACGTGCGTGGACGGAGCACACAGGTCTGAGCCCAGTGCCATTGTCCCATGCTTCGAGAAGTTGGGGAGATGAGGGAGAAGCAGTAGCCTAGGAGGCAGGTGGAGGACCAGGCGGGGCAGTGTCCTAGCCCCAGCGAAGGATCCACGGGTCGGATGCTGCTGGGCTGAGTGAGGCAGCCGTTGCTAGTGACCGTAACTGGGCAGTTTGTTACATGGTAGAGAAAACCGCTGACCAAAAGAGCTCAAGGAGGATGAAGGTGCAGACATGGAGACCATGAGTTCTATGGAGACAACTCAGGCAAAGAGTGGCAAGTTGTCAGGGAAGGGGCTCAAGGTCATTTTAATCCAATGTGTTAGAAATATCAGCGTGTTTGGATGCTGGTGGGAATATCAAGTCAAGGGTGAGAGTGAAGGGCAGAAGAGAGCGAAAGACAGTTGCTAGTCACCATTTGGGGCTGGCCACTGAGAAGAAAGCACAGTCAGGCCCTGGAGAAGCCCCAGCAACTGTTGTCCTCAAATGCAGGTGCCCACTGCAGAGAGTTGCAGAGGTGGTAGGACCTGGAGAAGCGGGCAGTGCGGGGAGGCCGTTTGGGTTGAAGAAAGTGCTGCTTTAGGATCAGAAGGTGACCTGACCTCGTTTAATCCCCAGAGCAGCTCTGTGTGAGAGGCACTGATGTTATCCCCACTTCACAGATGAGGAAACTGAGGCTCAGAGGGGATGAGACCTGCTTGAGGTCACAGCCAGTCAATAGCAGAGATCAGACTTGAACTGGGATCTGACTGACACCAAGCTTGTCCCCAGCACAATATGTTCCCAGCACTGGCCATGAGATGGTCGAGGTGACCATGGGTGTTTGGACATGGGTTTGGGGTAAGGTCTAGGCAGCCTGGCTACTTGGAGGGGTTAGAGGCTCCTGGGATGGGTCAAGGCGGAGGCGGTTCATCAGGCAGAGTTTAGAGCCTGGGGCAGGAAGGACAAAGGAGGAGCTGTCCTTTGGCTTTTTAGGGACCTGCACCCTGAGGAGCTGTCCTGGGACCAGACAGCTGTGGGGGCTGAGAATTGTTATGAGGCTGGACAGAGGACAGAGGTGTTGGGGGTGGAGCTGTGGTACGACCCTGGACTGGTTGTCAGGATATTTGTGGCGAGAGTATGGCCCCAGCGACAGCAAGGAAGTCATCGTTCCAGGGCCTGGCTGTGGGATAACATTAATAATCATAACGATTATTGGCACCATTTGCTGAGTGATTACTAATTGCCATAGGTGCCTCATGCTCTTTACTATGAACATAACCTCATGCCAACCTCATGAGGAAGATACTGTTAGATCCTATGCTACAGATGGAGAAACTGAGGCACAGGGAGGCAAAGTCACTCACCCAGGGTCACGGAGCCTGCTGCTGCAGCGTAGAAGAGGAAGAATAAGGAAGCAGAGGAGGCTCCTAGCAAGTCCAGGGGAGATGGATCCAAAGAATCTGCCCTCAGTTTATGTAGAGCTAGTGCCAGGCCACAGCCAGATGGCCTGAGTGGGATGAGGAAACTGCCTGGCAGATGGCCAGTTGATGGCCATCCTGCTGTAGGAGGCCATAGGGGCCTGGCCCTGCCCTAGGCCCCCTGAGGCTCTGGCTCACTGGGGCATGCAGTCAGGGTAGCCAGGGTGGGGAAGGCCCCAGAGGCAGGTGTTTGACGAGGCCTGAACTGGCTGCAAGAGCAGGACTGCTGGAGGGGACAGCACCTTGGGCTGGGGCCCATATAGAGCAGGCAGTTAGGGTCAGGGAGCAATGCCAGCCCTTTAGGCAGTGACAGTCTCCCTTGGCTCTCGGCCAGCATGGGAGGCAGGCATTGCAGGACCCTAGATGGGGCAGCCCAGGTTCTACGGCTCTGTAACAAAGATCACAAACTTAGTGATCACACAGATTTCTTATCTCACTGTGGATCAGGAGT